AGTGGGGGTGGGGGTGCACGATGATATGGGGGATGCTAGAAACACTGAGATATGACTAGGGTTAGGTTAGCTCTGATACCAAATTATACCAGACTTAACAAACAACAACAAAAAATGCACCTTTTATTAAAATCACATAGTTATTACAACCAGAACACATAAAAGTAGAGAAAAACAAAAGACATGACACTTAAACTCGGTTGAGGATGGTGGTGCTGCAGTTAGGGGCTGGATAGGGGAGGATGTATGGAAGTGACTTGTGGAAGGAGGATTGGCGTTTGGGTTGGTTGTAGGGGAAGGAAGGTAGCCTACATTTGGGATGGTTGGAGAATGGCAGTAGGAGATGGTATGGATTGCGGTTGGGGGATTGGAGGGTGAAAGGTATGGCTGCAGTAGGCGGCCTTAGGTGGCAGGGATGGAGTTGCGATAGTGATGTGGATGGGGAGGGGACACCTGGAAGTGCAGCTGGGAGGTATCAGGGCTGTAGGAGACAACGCAGGTGCAGTTCTTGGGGTGGTTGCGGCAGTTACAATGATGGCAGCAGCAGAGGGAAGATTGCGGTGGATGGAGAAATTGAGAATAATCACCACCTCGAAACGAGATACATCTGAAGCACCGCTCGCTCTTCGATGCAACTCTAGAAGGGAAGACTTGGAGACGCCGCTGTTGCCTTGACAAAAAACCCACTAAAAACTGACCTAAACATGAGGAAATAACATATACGTAGACCTAAGGTAGAGAGTAGTGGCCCCCACTCCAAATCGGAGGGAAATCCATAATTGGAGGACCGGTGCCTCCTTTGCCTGATCCGAACCAATCCGGGGCAATATCGCAGCATCAGCCATGTTTGGCGTAAAGACGCCCCGTCTCATGCATAGTTTAAAGCACTAAATTGTCATTTATTATATTAAAAAAAAAGTGTCATGTATGTAAATATGAAAGTTTAAGTGTTAGATATGTAAACATATAAGAATTGAGTGGCATGCTTGTAATTCTTCCTTTTTTATTTATTATTATTTTTAAATCTATGCAATTGTTCTTCTGATATATGTAATGCTCATGGTTTAATCCTTTTATGTTCACTACTCCAAGATAATTGGAAAACTTTCGATTGCAGATTCAAAGTTTGCTGGATATTGTTCGTTGCATTGAGAGTGTAAGAAGCTGTGATTATACCTCATTGGATTACTTGAGTACCTGTTTAGAACGCTTGAATGGTATTATTGGGGATAGACTACTGGATGGCCTCATTATTGAAACATTTGGAAGACGGATTGAGAAGTTGTTACAGTAAGTTTAATTACAATATAGCTGTTATGAATGCTACAAAATGCTCTAGTAAAAAAAAAAAAAAAAAAGAGGTTTATTTGAGCTTGTAAATTTTATAAATTTGTTTTTTTTTTAATGATTTAGGGGAACCTTTTCTTATTTTATTATCATTATTTTTAATTTGTTAATTTGTAAGTTTTATTCTAATATTTAAGCTTGATAGGGAAAAGTTCATACAACTTTGTGGTCAAATTGATGATGGAAATAAGGATGCTTCTATTGATGAAGATGGTTCTATAGAAACTGATAGTGGGCGTAGCTCTCGAACAAGCCCTTTGAGCTCAATGATTAAGGATCGAACTTCCATTGAAGATTTTGAAATCATAAAACCAATCAGCAGAGGGGCATTTGGAAGAGTTTTTCTTGCAAAGAAAAGAGTTACTGGGGACCTTTTTGCAATCAAGGTTAACTGCTTTAACAAACTAATAGAATGAATATTTTCATTTAGTACTGTCAAATGTTTTTTTAAACATGGCTAGGCCTCTCTTTTTAATGCATGCTTCTACTCATGTGACTTCAATTTATGGCATGGTTTTACCATGTGTCCTATTTAGTCCTTTATTTTTTGCAATTTATTTCTTTCTTATCCTGCAACTAATTTTGACAACTATTTTAAACTTCTTATTTATTACTTGGGTCGTCAGAGGAAGACTAAGGTTATCTTCTCATGAAGGAAAACAGTGATAACAAATTATAGGGTATAAATATAAACGCATCTTTGAAATAAACGAAGATAAAAGTTGGATAAGTCATGTGTATACTGCTTAGTAATATTGACTGTATCGTTGCAGCTTTTTCTATATCCTTCTCTTAAATTATGAGAAATTATTTCCTAGTCATAATTTTAATCTGATCTTCTCCACTAAGAAAATGTCTAGCAAATAGGTGCCTAGAATGTTTTGTTTAACTTGGTTAGTAGATTGGTCGGAGAAATTGTTTGCATGTGTACTACTTGTGAACATGCTATTAGCTGTATCAAGCATTGTTTGGCAAAGTAACCACCTTCTAGCTTGCCATTTTGTTGTTATTTTTTTTAGTTTTTATAGTTTTCTCTTTGGAGATTCCCGCGTAGCTAGAATTTATACTTTTTTTCTCCTAGCTATTAAACTCTAATTTTTTTTCCAGCAAAATTTTTGTAATGCTAAACTTTATGCATGGAGGAAAAGGATAAAATAGTCCTTGGACTATTTATGTTGGCCCGGTTTAGTTTCTGAGTATTTAATGTATTTTATTTAATCCATTAACTCTTCATATCTGATCCAAAGTAGTCCCTTGACCCTTGAAGCTAATTCAAAATAATTCAACAGGGGAATTTACTCTATTTTGAGGTCTTTCTATACTTTCCAAACTTTAGCTCATTTGCATACTCTATTAATTGTCTTTTTTACATTGACAGTCTTAATGATGTGAAACTTATAGTCTACAATTGTTGAGAATACGAAATGTTTGTGTTCCATTTATAGGTTTGAATTTTATATTCTAAAATTTATATTGAAAATTATTTTGTTTATTAGTTAGAATTATCTAATTAAAACCTATAGTCCTACCTAGAAATCATGAATATGATTGTTTGTCAGTGGATTCAGTTCTTGGATTGGTGGAAGATTTATACTTATTAATTTGTGCTTGCTTGCAATCTTGCGATCTTTTTGGGTTGTTGGATTTGCTGTGTTATTTATGCTTGACTTATAGTGTTTTTATTGTTTGGCTTAACCTATTCATTGGCTCTATGCTTAATTATATATGACTCATTTGTTGTGAAAAATGACGACAATAAAGTGAAAAATGAAATGAGAAAAAATTGCATGCAGAAAAATACCAGAGCGAGACACATATTTACGTGATTTGACAAATTTGCCTACGTCCACGGAGCTGCAGAAGATTTTATTTCTTTGAGAAATTACGCCGTCGAGCGCCTCGACGTTTATAAGAAAATTTATATTTTCTTCTCTCCCTTTCTCTCTCTTTCTCTTCCTCTATTTCTCTCTTAGAGGACTTGGCTTGACCCTCGCTTGGCTTGTTGCTTCATGACAATCCATAAGAGGCTATTTATAGAAACCAGGAGAACGGTGGGTAGGTGAGCGGTAAGTGCGATGTGGTAGGTGAGCGGTAAGTGGGAAGGTAGGTGAGGTTCTTAATTAGGAAGCTAATTAAATTGCGGTGGACCGAGTTTCCACATTACTCAACAATTCTCCCACTTGGAGACTGGGACATTGACCGCATCACCTACTGCCTGCATCATCTACTGGTTGCATCACTACTAACTGTACCGACCTTTTCCTCAAACGTGATTTCCTCCACCTCTGCAACTCAATGCCCTTGTCTTCATGCCAGAAGACCAGCTGAAGTCGAGCACAACTTCAGCTTCTCACGAGCAACACCCTCAGTTGATATATCACCGTCATATATCACCGTCAACATAGCCCGTCAACATAGCCTTGTATCACCAAGCTCTTTGTTGGGTTACTCTTGTATATACTTACAACTCCCACTGCATGAGCAATATTTGCCTTGCTGAAAGTCCTTTTCAACAAGTCCAGCTTTGTACCTTTTACTGTCATCAAACGCAGTCTTCACCCGGTACACTCACTTGTTGTGCATTGCATTCTTCCTTGGTGGAAGTTCTATCATCTCCCAAGTCTGATTCCCTGGCAGGGAATCTGTCTCCACCTTCTTGGTCAGCTCTCACTTGCTCTAATTCTCATCTTGCAAGATTTCTTCACAGCTTTGTGGTTCTCCACCATTTATCTATACAAGGTCCGGTTTTCCTACCTTTGGCGCTCTGCCACTTCTCAAGAAATTGACGTTCTTTTGCTTCCTCATAATACACCTCTGACTCGTGTATCCTCGTCTGAGTAAACCTGTAGTCATATATAGTGTGTTAGTTTTCTTATCCTGAGTCAATACTAATGCTCCTTAAGTAACATTCCAGGTACTATCTGAGAACACTACTGAAGAACCACCTTCATTGAGCTGCACAACAGAAATGAGATTTTTCAACTCAGGAACGTGTCTGACTTTTTGCAAAGTCCATTTGTTCTTGTTAGGAAGTGCAATATCAACGTCTCCTATACCCACCACGTCCAGAGTTTTTCCATCAGCCAGATATACCTTCCCAAAATTACCTGCAATATAATTTTGCATTAACTCCCGACGGGAAGATGTATGGAAGGAAACCTCTGAATTCAGTATCCAGTCATCAACAAAACTGTGAACTGCCAGCAATAACACATTTTGTATTTTTTTAGATATAACATTAGCGTCATCATTCTCCTTATTCTTAGGATTCTTGCAATTTTTTTATGTGGCCAACCTTGCTACAATTCCAGCAAGTTGTCCGCTGACCAGACTTTGATTTTAATCTTCTTCTGTTTGAGTTCCTGTCATGTGATCTCTCTCTGGAATTAACATTCAGCGCCGAACCTGAACACGAGGCCTCGCTAGAATCCTTCCTGCGCATCTCCTCAGCCAAAATCTTAGCTTAGATTTACCTGCAAAACTGATAACTGCCATCCTCATGGCTTCCCAGCTATTTGACAATGAAACCAAGAATATTGGCGCATGTATCTCATCATCAAAATCAATTTTAACAGACGAGCGCAATTGATTTGTGATAATATTAAATTCATTCAGGTATTGAACAACAAAGACAACTTACGTCATCTTCAAGTTGAATAACTTTTTCATCAAATGCACCTTGTTATTCGCCAATGGCTTTTCATACATACCTGATAATCATACATTTTTCATACATACCTGATAAAGCCGCAATGAGATCTGCTATAGTCCTCTCCTTGATGACGTTGTGGACAACCGATCTCGACAGGGTTAATCGAATAACTCCCAGAATCTGTCCATCCAACATATTTCAATTCCGCCTCGTCCACATTTTCCAGTCGTTTTCTCAGTAACGGAAGATGAAGTTTCTTCCCATAGAGGTAATCCTATATCTGCATCCTTCAGTAACCAAAATCTGTGTCATTGAACTTCTCGATGAATCTGTGTCATTGAACTTCTCGATCCCCGATAGCATCACTTCGTCTCCACCCATCGTTTTTCCTTATATCCAAACCAAAGCTCTGATATCAGTTGTTGTGAAAAACAACGACAATAAAATGAAAAATGAAACGAGAAAAAAATGCCCCAGAAAAACACTAGAGCGACACACAAATTTACGTGGTTCGACAAATTTGCATACGTCCACGGAGCTGCAAAAGATTTTATTTCTTCGAGGAATTACACAGTCGAGCGCCTCAACGTTTACAGCGTTTACAAGAAAATCTCTATTTTCTTCTCTCCCATTCTCTCTCTTTCTCTTCCTCTCTTTCTCTCTTAGAGGACTTTGCTTGGCCCTTGCTTGGCTTGTTGCTTCATGACAATCCATAATAGGTTATTTATAGAAACCAGGAGAGCGGTAGGTGGGAGGTAGGTGAGATGTGGTAGGTGAGCGGTAGGTGAAATTCTTAATTTAAAAACTAATTAAATTGCGGTGAACCAGGTCTTTACATTACTAAACATCATTGTTACTATCAATGATGGTCTTTGTGTCTATTCAATTGGTCTTCTCTCTTTCTTCTATTTGTGGCTATTTCATTAGGACATCTAGTCTTTTGTTATTTGTATCGAGTTGGTTTTTTATAATTTTAATCTTATTTAATTGTTGTGGTTCGAATAAGATGTTTATAACAGGTTCCTCATATTGATCTTCCTTTCAAGAGGCTTCTTGATGACTAAGAGCATCCAAATAATAATCTATGATATAAATAGCATTTTTATTTTTTTATATATAATCTCTTCGTCTTCCTAAATTATAGACTTATGATTTCGTTACACCTAGCTGTCCCTCTCAATTCAGACAGAGGTATAACACAAGTGGACAACGCAGTCTGACTCAATTGCCACCAACACTCATCTTGAAATGCGCAAATCAGGACCAAGTAAGTGGAGGATTGATCTCACTAAGTCATCACAAGCGCTTCATCTCATTTAATATTCATTTGTATCAAAATACATAGGGAAGTATGCAAAATAATTTTCAAATCATATACAGAACTGCCAAACACTTAAATATATAAAAACATACCTCAAAAGTCTTCAAAATTGTTTAAATTATTTTCGATTGAAAAGCTATACAAAAGGCAATCTAACTAATAACAGTTTATCTGCTCTTTACCCTTTTCTGAAAAACAATATCATAATATTGGGTAAACTATAGACTCAATGAGATATTCAGTGTTAAAATAAGATTTAATAGAGATAAATGAAGCAATATATATGTTGGTCGGAGGCTAGTATGAGCAACAACATTGAGTAAATAAAAATACTTTATTTCTTTAAAGTTCATGAAACATGAAGCAACTACAAGTCTATAATAGAAGAAGCATCGGTCAATAATAATCAAATT